TGAATGGGGCAAGTATCTTGCTTAAACAAGCTTCATTTGAAAAGTTTTCATAACCTTTGAATTTTTAATGACCTAGTTTAATCTTCATGACCGACTCAAATCACATATTTGAGATGTAAAAAAATATAGGTCTCAAGTCTCCAACAATCAATTAAAATTGATGCATACCTATTTTAAACTAAGATTCAAAGATCTAATAACAAGGCATTTCCTAACATCATTAGAAAGTTTATATGCAAGTTTTAGTTAATAGCAATAACGTAGAATTAACATTCACCCCAACCAGCCTTCATAAAAATCAAGACAGTAAATAAAACAAGAATTCAAATCGATTTAAACCAACAAAGGCATTCCTGTCTATATAACTAAACAAGAATAACTTTATTGTTGTATTAGCTAAAAAAAGGAAGGTTAACCTCAACTAAAACATGAAATAAAATTACAAGAATATTCTCAAATTTCCTTAAGATAGACTTCATGCTAATTGAATTTTCATTGAAATTAATATAACTTTTTAATATCATTTGTTGTAATAATTTTAACCCAAATTTACAAACTATAAAAATGTTTAGATGCTTTTTTTTTTTTGTAAAATAATGTTAAGTCGCTAAACAGGCTCTCTTCATTTAGTGGTGTAAAGGTGTACGAAGTCCTTTTTTTATAATTTAGATGTATTATCAACAAAATATACCAATTATTAGAACATAGGGATAACAAGGATTAATATTATGGCACTCTTATAATAAGTATACTTGCACAAGTCATAGTAGCTTCTACTCCTATCTATATATAGCTTGTACTCTACAGTTGTAATGAATAAGATTTTAGTCTCTATTTCCTGGCTTAGCTCTTCTCTTACTTCTCTCATCTTCTTGCTGCATTCAAGATCCTTAGTTTATACATGGTATTAATGTGGGATTGATGGCAAAACCTCAAATGGATAGCTTAGAAACGCCTCAACTCAGAGAACACGTAGATTCAGATGCTCCCGACACTGCATCTATTTAGTCCTCCTTGAAGTTCATTGTTTCAAATCTCAAGAACATTGTACCCACTCAACTCGCCACCAAAAATTACTCCATTTGGCATTCTCAGATCACCAAACTTCTCCGTTCAAATGAGTTTTATAGATTTCTTGAACCAAAGATCCCACCTCCCGCTCGTTTGCTCCAGCAACTGGATGGTTCCACCATCCTCAATCAATCTTATACCTAATAGCTCCTAATCGATCAGAACTTAGTTGTCGCTCTCTGTTCTCAAATCTCTCCATATGTGTAAACCTCTGCCATTTGGATCACTCTTGAACTCCGGTTCCAATCTACCAACAGATCAAAGGTAATTCAATTCAAGAAAGAACTTCACAATATTTCCATGAAGAACTCGACGATGACTCAATACCTCACCGAAATAAAATCTCTCGTGGATCAAATTGCCACCACCGAATTGACTAACAACACAGACGACATTATTCTTTACATCCTCAATGGTCTTCCACAGTCATATCAAGCGTTAAAGATGTTGATCAGAACCATGATTATGCCCATAAATCTTGACCATCTTTATCCTCTTCTTCTCAATGAAGAAGCCAATATTGCTAATAAAACCGCCCGCAGCACATCGACTGGTGACCCCAACATGGCTCTCTATTCTCAATGGGGCAATGTTAGATGGAATAGAGGAAGGCAATCAAAAAATGTATCACACTCAAATAGATCTCATTCTGTTTCGGTTACCATATGCTAAATATGCAACAAAAAGGGTCATTCATACTCCATCTGCTAGCACCGATTGAACACTCAGTACCTTCCACTTTCAGTAAATGCAACCTAATAAGCACACGTCACTACCTCAGATCAATCATCTACAAACTAGTACCTGGACTCTGAAGCATCATCTCATCTTACCAATTCTCTTGACAATCTTTCCATCGCTAGTCAAGGTTCTGATAGCATAACCATAGGCGATAGCAGATCTGTCCTGATCGCTCACTCAGGTGTGGGTCAACTATCGACCCCATCTCGTAAGGTGAATCTTGCTCAGCTATTTCACATTCCTAATCTTCAATACAATCTATTAACTATCTATAAACTCACAAAAGATAACTATATCTCCACTACTTTTGATCCATCTGGTTTTTCCTTTAAGGATATCAAGACTCAGCAAGTTCTTCTTCAAGGACCATGCCGTGAGGGATTGTATTCACTTCAAAATCTTTCCTCAACTTCTTCCAAGCATGCGCTGACAACTACCACTTAAACCTTTGTGCCTTGGCACAATCGATTGGGTCACCCTCATGAGAGGGTCCTAGATCTTATATCTAAATGTAATCTGCATCTTAATATAGATTTACATTCTTTTTCTTTCCATTCGTGTAAGCTTCAAAAGGCCACAAATTAGCCTTTGAACACTCTGTAAACTGAAAAACTAATCTTTTGGCTCTTGTCCACTCTGATGTTTGGGGTCCCTCCCCTGTTGCCTCAATCCATGGTTACAAGTATTATGTCATATTTGTGGACTATTTTTAATATTCAAGTTGCTTTTTCATAGGCAACATAAATATGAGGTTACTAATATATTCATTTACTTCAAAACTCACATTGAAAAATTCACCGCTCATAATATCAAAAGTCTTCATACTGATGGAGGCACCGAATACTTAAATCATCGGCTCATTCAATTTCTCACTGATCATGTCATCTCGCATCAAATCTCATGTCCCCAGGTCGAAACAAAACGGTCTTGCAAAGCGCAAACACCGACATACTATAGAAACAACAAGAACTCTACTTCCCAAGGCCTCCGTCCCTCCTACTTACTATCCTAATGTGGTTCTAACTTCATTTTACCTTATCAATAAAATGCCATCCATCACTACTAACAAACTCTCCCCCTTTGAAATTCTCTACACGCACCTCTGTACATTCGAATGCAAGTGTTTTCCTCTTATGCCTCCTCATCTACGCCACAAACTTTAGCCTAACGCACAATCATGTGTTTTTATTGGCTACTCCGACACCTATTAAGGATACAAATGTCTCAACACTACTACTAACAAAATCTTCATGGCTCGGCATACCAAATTTGACAAAACATTATTTTTGTTCAAGCATTCTTCATCCTCGGCTAGCACTACATATCAAACTCTTTCCTTTATTCCTAACACCTACTTCCACCTATTCGCAATCCACACCAACCCCCACTTAGCAACTCGTTTCTTCTCCTTGCGTCCAACACCCGACCGAGCCTGCCTCTCCACGACTCTCTCATCCATCTCAAGTGCACCCTTACATAAAACATCTATCTAATCTATCTCCACCACATCAACCCACTAGTTCTCACCATCCGATGGTGACTCGACGACAAACTGGTTCCCTAAAACCCATGGTCAGATTAAATATGCTTCACAAACAATCTACTCATGAAAATGCCCCTGATCCTACATCTTATACTTATGTTGTTAAGCACTTTGAGTGGCAAAAAGCTATGACAAATGAAAGGCAGCCTCTATTCTTGGATGTAAGTGAACATACCAAACCAAATATCATGCGGATGGATCCATAGCTAGGTATAAAGCAAGGTTGTTTGCTCAGGAAAATCATCAATAATATGGCATTGATTACACAGAGACGTTTAGACCTGTAGCAAAGCTCCCTACCATTCAAATTTTATATACGGTCACTCTACATCATGAATGGCCCATTCAACACCTTGATGTGGCCAATGCATTCCTCCATGATACTCTTTCAAAAACTCTCTCTATATGGCTCAACCAAAAGGCTTTGAAGACTCATCTAATCCTCATCATGTCTGCTTGCTCAATAAAGCTATTTACATGCTCAAATAAGCCCCGCGTCAATGGTACAACACATTCACCTTCTACCTGGTATCCCTCGATTTTAAGCACAACAAATTGAATCCATCTCTCTTAATTTTAACTCACCCGTAGATAACCATCTTTATTCTTACATATGTAGAAGACATCTTATTAATCGGGGACAATCAAGATGCTATAAAATAGCTCCTTGTCAAGCTCAACAGAAAGTTTACAATGAAACACCTAGGCAAAATGCATTCGTTTCTCGGCATACAAATCAACTCTCAGACCAATCAATACTCTCTCTCTCTCTCTCTCTCTCTCTCTCTCTCTCTCTCTCAAAAACCATATGCCTACTCTATTCTTCAGCAAGCTGCCCTTACAACTACAACTCGTTATCAAATCCCATGTGCATGAAACTACCTACAGATACTTACGAACACTACGTTATCTGATCCCGCTCTCTACAGAAAACTCATGGGCTCTCTACAATATTTGAAACTCACTCGCCGAGACATAGTATATAGTGTCAACTTGCTCTCTCAACATATGCATCATCCTCTTTCACAATGCATATATCTTCTCAAACATCTGCTACATTACATCAAAGGTACTCTAGATTATGGTCTACCCATTATCAAAGGTAATCTCACTCTTCAATCTTTTTCGAAAGCGGACTGGGTTGGGGATCCAATTTCTAGGAAGTCTACTTCCAGGCATTGCTCATTCTTGGGCAACACTCTCGTATCATGGACTATAAAGAAACAAAACACGGTAGTTAGATCCTCCACAGAATTGGAATATCGAGCCCTGGCTACGCTCACTGCTGATATTATCTAGCTCAGGAGAACTCTAACCGACTTCGGCATCATTTTAGATCAACCAATGGATCTCTTTTGTGACAAATCATTTGCTATTGCCCTGGCAAACAACCCTGTCTTTCATGCCAGAACGAAGCATATTGAAATTTATCATCATTTTGTTCATGATCATATCCAAAATCATAACATTCGTCTTCTTCCAATAAGTACTATCAATCAACTCACTGATATTTTTACCAAACCTCTGCCAACACCACGGTTTCATCAGTTCATACTCAAACTAACAATCCAGTAAGACCCATCAGTTTGTCAGGGGATTTTAGAACATACAGATAACGAGAATTAGTATTATGGCACCCTTGTAATAAGTATACTTGTATACATGATAGTAGCCCTACTCTTGTCTATATATAGCTTGTACTCTACTGTTGTAATGAATAAGATTTTAGTTTTTGTTTCCTGGCCTAGCTCTTCTCCTACGTCTCTCATCTTCTTGCCGCATTCAAGATCCTTAGCTTCTACACCAATCATAATATCACAGTTAACAAAACAACCAAAATTTTCAGGAAAAAGCATCTCAAGTGCTCAAGGATCTTCATGGGCACTGCCGCGGGAGGTGATTCCACTCCTGAGAGTTGTCTTGCTACGGTTCGCAATAGGCTTACTTCTTGCACTGGTTCCAGATTGATCTTTAGCTGATTCTTTCTGCTTGTCTCGAATGAAAGGAGAAGACAGTCGGTTCGATGGCTGATGCTCCACCGTTTTCTTCACTTCCTTCTCAATGGAGGCATGCTCTCCTTCTGAAAGTGGCGCCATCCTTTGAGGTGACTTCGCTGCTTGAGCTTTCATGCTTTTGCTCACTTCAAGCTTACCTCCTGCACTGAGCCCAGAGTAAGAAGAACCTAGTTCTTTACGCTTGGTTTGAATAGAACTATTGAATGAACGCCTTGCAACTATTTTCTTCATTGTTTTTTCATTGGAGCAATTGCCATCCGAAAATACAGAAGCAGCACCAAGTTCTTCTTGCACATACAAGATGTTCTGGGCAGAAAATTCAGTATCACGCAGCTCTACATGTTGGTTGCTCCTGCTAGCCTGCTTGTGTATAGTTCTATAATTATCATCAAATGGCTTAACTTCATCTTTACCTAAATCTATTGATAGCAGATGAGATTCTCCTTGTGCTTTAAGTCTACGGAATTCTTCCTCCAACCTCAGAATCCTCTTGTCCTGTTCTGCACTAATATGACGCAGTAATTCTAGTTCTTCTCGATCCTTGCTTGATATTGGATGCTTGGCGTCTCCTGTATGATCCTGAAAAACATAAAATAAAAACTCAATTGGATCATTAAGCTTTATCAAAATTAATCAACACATTTTGGTTCTTAAAAAATGTGAGATAAAATTTCCACATTGTTGAAAGTGCTTGGTTGCATCCGACATTCCCGAGCAGCAAGATCATCCTTTTCATGAAATTTTGTTGAGGATTCTTGGCCTTCTTGTTTGTCACAAGGGAGTAGCATGGAGCTGTCAAGAAGATGGCGCTCGGATTCCAGAGGAGATAGTCCACACCTTATCTGTTTTATCGAAACCAATAACAAAAGAAATAAATGCCTATGCATATGGTAACTGTTAATGACTTGACAAGAATTTAAAAGTTTCTCACATCAGAGGAACGCAAAAGCCTGAATTGATCTAAGATCCCATCCATGCTGTTTCTTCTCCACCCCAATATCCTCGGACTACAACCTTGCCTTTCATGTTTTCCCAGGCCAGCAATCTCACAAATCCATAGCTAAGATTGAAGAGATGAATTATGCTTTAGAATGAGAATTCGAGAAGCATTACTCTTTCGAAATACTAAAACGTCATTTGGGACTACTTTCTTACTGCTTCTTAAACCAACTTTTTGATATAAATTGTACTAAAAAACTACTTTAAAAAACAGTAAGAAAACCGTCATAAACGAAGCCTAAATTACCTGCAGTGCTAGAAAGCAATGTTGGAATAAAAAAAATGCTTTTGGAACAAGAGAAGGCTAAAGAGAATAGAAGAAAGAAAGTAGAAATTTTATTTCTCAAATTTTGGCTTGATACAACTCAAAGACACAACCACTATTTATACTAGTAGTACATCGTTGGGATTATGCCAACACATTTCAATCTAATGGTTACAAATAATCCTCTAGAGTATTCTCATATCTCCTATCATAAATAACATTAAATGCATATTCTAGACTTTTCTAACAATTACTCCTTAAAAGACCCTCTAGAGTATTCTCATATCTCCTATCATAAATGACATTAAATGCATAGATCTCTAGAGTCTTCTTTAATAGATTTCTCTAGATTATGGGCTTCAATCAAAAGCCCAAATAATAACGGGCCAAATTAAGTTTAATTTCCAACAAGCAACCCCCATATATGTTGTCAGATAGCTCATCGGAAGCATCTTCTTCAGTCATCTGGCTCTTCGCTCGATTGATCTCATCAAAAAGTTCTTGGAACACAAGAGGAGCCCAAGCATAATCACACATGTGATCAATTTGTTCAACAAAATTCCATAAGCTCGAAGTAACACTCGTGTTGCTCGAAGGTAAGAGAACAGTACTAATAAATAGTCCAACAAGCAAAACCACAAAAGCCTCAACGGCATCATTCGACTGGTCCATGGCATACTTCCTCAAATGGTAGACAATTTCGTATCTGGTCACCGCACCCCTTTCAAATATACGGTGATAAAAATCCCTGTTCAAATTAGAATTGAGCCTAACTATTTTTCCATGATTTGGAAGACCAAAGATAAGTGCAATGTCATCTGATTTGAACTCAAGACGATGTCCTGCAATGCTAAAGCTGTTATCGAATTTATCATACTGAAGAAGAAGCTCAAGTAACAAGGAATGGTTGAGTTCTAAGTAAGGGAGGTGGAGAATGTAGTTGAAGGGTGTGCGTTGTAGGAGAGCCTCGTGTTGGTGGACAATTAGCCCATCCTGCTTCAACTCGCACAGGACATCATAGAAGAATTTCATACTTCCTTTTAGATCAAATGATTTCACTCGCTTGGCCATAACAAAATGATCTGCATATATTCACTCAAGTTATTGGACATCACAGAAGAATTTCTAGTCAGAGCATGTATTACACCTGACAACTAATGAAGTGGAGGAAAATTTGTAGATCTTTGTCAATTTTTTAGTAATACTTATGAGCAATTTTTATAAGGTATTCTCGTAGGGTTTTGGACTTGTTTGGAGCAAGTTGGGATGAATAAGCATCCAAATCTAGAATTCAATCCGCGGAGTACGAGAAATAATTTTGTGCGGAGTCCGGATAGGAAGAACAGTTCAAACATGTGAGAGTAAATACTATGTACACATTTGAATACAGTGTGTATCAAATTTTTATACAAACAGTCATAATTTGGACGATTCTTCCCTTCAAACTTCACCTAAAATAATTTCTGTAGAGGACAGGGTTTTTTTGCCAATAAACTGCCACGTGGTCTAAAAGGGTTAAAGACAAGAGCCTGCAGCTTCATGGAGGCCACAATTGGCATATTTCGGGTTGCGTGGACCCGCGTAGTTAGTCTAATTATTTTAAAAATAGATTAAAAAGTCAAGAACAAATATTTTGGACATGTTGATCGTTAATTTTGAATTTAGTCAAATATATAATGTCTAATATAATAAATGTTTGATAACTTCAATATTGTCATTAATTAAGTTAAACAATGACGATAGAATAAAAGGATTATTAATGAGTTGAACACCAATAAGACGGATCAAATAAAAATTTTAATTTGAAAACAAGTAATTGAATTATGATTTTAATATTTTATTTATTTAATTTATTTTTGTTAAGAAAAAAAAATCTTATGTATTCCAAATTTTATTAATTGATACAATTATTATACTACAAAAAATTGAAGGGATTAAAATTTGATGAGAATTTTCTAGCTTAAATATAATCCTTTTGGGTCTCGTGCCCGAGCCAATTAAAAAGGCCATTCAGCTCAAAGGCCAGATGGCAGTCTCATCAGGTCTAATTCATGGACAGTTGGGAAAATCCCGAACATTTTGTTGGACCGCAGAGGTTATTTGGGTTCAGGCACTGAACACAGGATACGATTCCATACTTTAGAGAACTGAATAATACTGAACTCAGTACTCTGAAGTACGGAGTTTGGTACTCTACAGTATCGAGCTCGGTATCGAGCAGTACCGAGCAGTATCGAGCTCGGCAACGAGCAGTACCGAGCTCAGTACTGCTCGGTTTGTGGAGTACCGAGCTCATTCAGAACTCAATATGAAGTAGGGGCTGATGTGATGCATTTTTATTGGGCTCCAGATGACACTGTCCGAACCCAATAATTTCGCGCTAATTACTCACAAAGCTTTGATGGAATCCCATACCTCTCTGTTCTTCCTGTCTTCGACGAACAATATGCACCGTGAGAGTATTCTTCATGACCGTCGTAAAATCGAACTCCTCAGAGAGGTCCACCTCTTTCCCTGCTTCCGCCTTCCACTCGAACTCCTTCACAAGATTGGCCACCAGAAACTCCAAATGAAGCATTGCGAACCCATAACCTGGGCATGATCTCGTCCCCACCCCAAAAGGCATCATTTTTATCCTCCGACTTCCAGTTATATCCACGGCATGGCCCTCCCCTTCGTCCATAAACCTCTCCGGCTTGAACTCCATGGGCTCATCCCAATTCTGCCGGTCCCAATGCACATCCGCAACCGCAAAGTGCACCTCCGCCCCAACGGGTATCAAATACCCGTTCAGCTCAAGCTCCTCTTTCACCGAATGCGGCAGCACAAAGTGGCTAGGCGGGTGACGCCGAAGTGACTCCATTACCACCGCCTTGAGGAAAGGCATCCTCTGTAAATTCTCCTCATTTATTATCTCTTCCTCGTCTGTACCTTTCAAAGATTCGATCTCCGCATACAGCTTCGACTGAACCCTTTGGTGCTTTACGATCTCGGCCATGGTCCACTCGAGTGCTGTCGCAGTGGTGACGGAGCCGCTGAGGAACTCGTGGCAGAGGTTCACCATCTCGTCGTCGTTGAGCCCCCGCTCACCGTCGACGTCAGGAAGCTGGATATCAAGTAGGGAATCGACGTAACAACACTCAACGACGCTGCTTTCTAGCAGGTTATGTTTCCTCTCCCGCCTCGCTCTTATCAGCGGAAGGAAGATTTCCGCCTGCTTCCGTCTCGCAAAGACAATGTCTTCCCATCTTTTATAAAACAAGAGCTTGGTGATTGACGGGAAGAAAGCGAAGACGTTGAAGGTCGAGAAAAGTCTGAGGAGAAATGATTGTAGGTAGTCTATTTCGTGGATATCGCTCTCCCCAAATTTTTCACCGAAGCACATGAACGCAAGGATGCAGAGGATGGCGTGTTGAAAGTTCGGCTTTGGTGTGAACCCGTGGCGGCCAGCATGGGAACGGACTTTCTCAAGAAGGAGCTGAACAGCCCAGATTCGGGCGGGGGTAAAGTGGCGGAGGCGTGAGGGATGAAGAACTTCGGAAGAGAGGTTACGGCGAAAGAGGCTCCATAAAGAGCCGTGATTGGAAGAGGAGATGTCGTGGTTTCCGGCGGTGAGGAAGATGCTGGGCTCGACTGGTGGAGGGCGGTTTGAGAATGAATCTGCATGGTGGATGAGGGCGATGTGGGAAAGAGATGAGCTGGAGATGAAGATAGAGGGAGGAGCGAAGGGCAAGAGGCGGAGGCTGAGGATGGGGCCGTGGAGAGTGTGAAAGCGCCGGAGAAGGAGAGTGATTTCTTGAAGGGAACCGCGGTGGATTAAAAGGTGGGCGAGGAAGGGAAGGACGGAGATGTTCGGAGGTAGTGGAGGCTTCGTTGGCTTGGGGAGGTTGGGGAGGCGGAGAAGCTTGACGATAAAGGAAAGGGACAGAGACGAAAAGAAGACGAGGAGAAGCCAAGCCCACAAGCCTAAGGTCATTGGTCCTCTGCTTTTCCGCTGCTTCTTTGCTTTGCCTCCAACTGTCGTGGCCTAAGGAGTAGGTTCTCATTTCTGCAAGCCCAGTATCCGTTAACAGTACAATAACAAATTTTTAAAAGTAGCGTAGTATTAATTAAAATTATACAATTTATTATTAAGGATGCATATATTAGGATTAAACTAACAATTAAAAAATTTATTATGTAATTAGTGATGTATTATAAAAAAGTATTTTATTTTATTTTTGGTTTTGTAGAAATCAGAATTTTTTTTGTTGGAGATTTAAGTCAATTAAGTTAAATTCACACACACATCACGCACGCAAAACTCGAATTCAAAATCTCTTGATTGATAAATAAACCTCTTAACCAACACACCAAGATGAACTACGTGTTCTTAAAAGCGGGATAAATTGTTTTCCTGTTTCTAGGAAATCGGAATATAATTTTTAAATTTCTAATGAAACGGAATTTGTTTTTACAGTTTCAATAAGCTGTGGTTATGTTTTATGATTTCAATAAACCGGAATTTATTACAATTTTGCTCCTTTTTCAAAAAACAGCTCTATTCCCCGAATTAAAATTAATAATGTGCTCTTTTTTCAAAATTTTGCCTAAACATAAAATTTTAAATTTATTTCAAGGTAAAATAATATTAAAATAATTATAATTTCTAATATTTATTTTTTTTCAATATAAATTTTAGAGTCAAATTTATTTTGACTAAATTCTTGTTGATAATAGGCATATAGCTTCGTATAATTTTTTTCAATTGTAAT